AAAATAGTCACGTGACGTCTAAGTATTGTTCAGTTTTTGTGCATTATCATCGGTTTGTATTATTATCATAATATATATATAAGTATATAACCATAATATAGATCACGTATACTAGATCTGTAGTGTTATTATCATAATAGATTCTTATTATTGTTCCCGAAAATAAAATAATTGTGCTCCAATTGTGTAGAGTGCGCTTTTGGCGGAGTGCAAGACAAAAGATTACCAAAATTAGGACGTTGTAAAGTAGTCGGGTGGGACCTAATTACGATATTAGTTATCCACGGAAGGATTTTTATTCCTTATGGATAAGATTTCCGTAGCTCCCTCAGCTACTTCCTCTGAGCACTATTGCTAGATGTTCTTATCAATAAGAAGACACGTTTGATCTACAACACTCTAAAATGATTAATATATATTTTAATTCGTAAATTACGATATTACGTATATTGGAAGATGGGCTGTTTACCTGTTTGTCACTTACTGTAATTAAATATTATATACTATAGATTATTCATATAAAATGGTTGTAATATTTAAGTATGACGTTTTGCAACTGGTCCAAATGTGCCTAGTCTTTTCTGAGGTTTAAAATTGATACTCATTAGTCATTAGTCATTACCAGTGATACCCATATAAGGCCATAACAGTGGATACTATAATCATAATATTATAACACAAAGTTAGAACGGAAACGGATATTGGGTTTTTAAATTAATAATATGCGTACATTTTATTATTTACATAAATAAATTACAATACATTATACGTGCATTCATGTCGCGTAATATTTTTATTTTTCGAATCTATTGAAATTATTTAAGGTGGCTGGTGAGTAATGTGTGCCAACCCGTATGATGTTGTATCCTTGTATGACACGATAAATCAATAGTAATTCAATTGGATTTATTTGGATTTTTTTAATTTGAAACTGTCAACCGTTTAATAGATGGATATAAATATACATTTTTCAGAACAATCGCACGAAACGATATATCTAAATATAAATTATTAAAAAAAAACCTTTTATTCGTAAACGAACTGTAATTATAAATTATTAATGACGACTGACGATTGTCGATAAACAATCAACCCTTAAATGACATTTAGAAATGTCCAGTAAAATAGTTATTGTGGTCGACGATCGGCCAGCAGGGTTCTACATATCCCTGCGGATATTTGGGTTTCGGAAAAACACGAATTTTTTATTATTATGCTTTTTATTTCATATTTGATACTGACGTAGGGCGAAAATAGTAACTGATTTGATTTACGTTGAAAATTCGATTCTTGGAAACTATAATTTGTTATCGTATGTCAAGTCTATTCTTGACGTATAGGTTTAAAGAAATCAATACTGAACCTCAACCAAATAATAGTAAGTATAAAAATACAATAATGTATAACTATAAATAACTATAATAAAAACAAAAAGTATATACATTTAACATTTTTATTTTTCAACAATATTATTATTTTATTGTTTGAAACTAGTAAAACAAAGTAAGTGCCTCTGTTAGATTTAATTTTGAATTATTCACATTCCAATATTAAATTTAATCGCAGCGTTTTGAATACACCGGTCGAATAATTATTATAAATTAAACCACCAGCATAATTTGTTTGATGATTGCATATCATTTTTTTAATGCTGGTAACGATAGTTAAAAGGATTTGTGATTTTTTTGACCGTGGTATACGGTCATACAGAATGGAATAATTTATGTAGTATAATGTTATGTGTATTATGTATATACGAGTAATGTGTGTATTATATGTGACTGTAGTCTGTAGTACATTGCATTAATTAAGAAACAATTAATTCATAAATTACAGTGTGATGTCCCTAGTCAAAATCAGTTTAAAGTATTACAAATAATTTGAATTTTAAATTTTTAAATTTATACATTTGTTTGTACATAATATGAGTAGTTTCACAAAATGGCCAGTGCCAAAAACTTCATTTTATTGTCGTATTTTATCAAACGGTTAAATATAATATAATACTATATGACAATTAATTATATTTATTTAAATAGTCTATACCAGATTTTTAAACGTTTGAATCGTTTGATGATTACATAATAATATGTAAATTAATCAGGTGCATTAAAATAAAAATTATTTTCAAATTTTCCAATAAAAATTCTCTCTGATAAGTACATACAATAAATTTAAATTAAATATCCTATAGTCAATTTATTAGGTCATGGGTTTATATTATATAATTTTTGTAAATAAAAAAAAAATGTTTAAAATCACACAATTAAAAACTTTTTGTAAATATTACATAATAGGTATATGGTATATTCATATAAATATTCGTTTTTAATTATTAACTGGGTACCAAAAAATCAGACATTAAATGAATATAAAACGTTTGATAGATAAATAGTTTATATTGTTATAATCCATTTTTATCCTCAAGCCGTAGATAAATAATGGTCTCTTGTAGTAATGTCGTATTTATTGTGATTAATTTTCATATAAAATATTCGCGCTCGGTGGATGGCGCCATAAAAAACTAATTTTTTAATTGAAATATAGGACACGTTCTCATGATAGTCAATTTCAAACGTAATAATATGTTAATAAAAATAAATACACGTCATAATAGGTGTACTATTTCGAGCATCTGCTGTAAGTCACGTTTCGAGACTATAAAAAAAGGCATCTAAGTGGGCATTATTACGTTTCAGACCAAAATCTTGTTGCTGGAGGACAAATAATATTACCTTCGTGTAGGAAAACTGCACGTACGACTTATTTCGATACCTTCATACGATTATGATGGTCATTTCGAAAAACGACGTCGTCCTACGCATCCAAATATCATATTTGCAAAAATCGCCGGAGTTATCAAAATATGCAGTCAATTGTACAGCTTACAATATAATATAGGACTCGAACCTATAGGTATTATAATTGGCATATACAGTCGTATTATACAGAAATCACGTATGTAGAGCCATACATATATGCATAAAGGGATTACGCGCGGCGGGAGTGTCATACTGTCAAATATATTATAATTTATAATTATACGAAGGCGGTTTATCAAATGCAATGATATTATAATATACACAATTATTATTAAACCATGAACGTTCGCGTTAATATTATAATATTATTGTACGGCTTTGGATGCGTGTAAAATAATAATATGATATCTACGCATTAAAACGGCCAACAACCGTCGCCCTTATAATACATAATATACATAATAAGTAATAACTAATAAACTAGTAAATTATGTAGGTACCCGTGTACTGTGTTATTTAGAACTGCGAATCCAATAATATTTTTATAATATTATTATACTGATAAATGATAATGCTACGAGTTCAGTGTCGTACAAAGATAATCCAAAAACTATCTAGGATATAGGTAATTGACTTTAAGATTACCGAGTTTATAAAGATAATAAAAAGATAAATTAAAACTTGCACTTGTAAGACAGCATTTTTGGTATAAATTATATTAATATATTGTATCACACGAGTTTAAATATGCTTACACTCGTAAATACGTGTGATTTAATTAAGATACCGTGATCGGTGATGTTTACCAGAGAATATAAGAAATAAACTACAAAATAACTTCAGTAAAACACACGTAATAAAAAATAAAATATGTACATTGAAAACGAAATATAAATAAAATAACGTATACTATCAACTGTATCCCATGAAAAATAAAATATTTATCTAAAAATAAAACTGAAAAATATCTTGTAACGAAAAATTATCCAGATAATTTAGCTCAGATAACCACCGCTTTATTTAAATAGACAGATAAAAAGACACTGTAAATTATTTTTATCTAGATAATGCACGACACACGGGGCCGACGAGTACCTATTTATAATATTATACTGTGATGTATTACAATAATGGTTGCGGATATTCATATTATCGTTCGTCAGCGTTAAATTTACAAACGAACAATGGCCGCGTCGTCTATTCGCTAGCTCCGCTCATGCAGCAGTATAATATGGGAACTCCGCTACGGCTATATTATATTATATTGTATGTTATAAATAAACTAAAATATTTTATTGTTTATTATAATGGCACATGATACTGGGTCACGCGAATTGGCGAAATAAAAAAAAAATATGAAAAAAACTCGGAGAGGAACCGTCGGCGGCGGCTAGAAAGTCGTAAAACAATGCGTTTGCGTAATAATCGATCGGCGTGAAAAAAAAAAAACGTAACGCTTATAATATTGGAAACAATTAAAATAACGACGGTCGGAGATTATAATAAAAATAATAATAATATTGTGGTATTATTACAATAGTTGGCCCACGTTTAAAACGCGCCAAATAAAGCGACGTCCGGGAAAACCGATTTCTTCGGGTTGCAGTCGATGTCATTGTGTGCGACGAGTTGTTTTTCACAGACAGCAGTGACGTTTCATTGGTCGCGCAGGTCAGAAGACAGGAGAGAAACATAAGATACCCAAAACCGAGTTTACCGAATATCAAAATATAATAATAATAATAATGTATAGCAACGGCGGCGGCGGAGAGATGAAATGGTGATATGGGAAACAAGACGAAAAGGGGAACGGCACCGTCGTCACCGTCGGCGCCGCGCCGTGTCATCGCCAAGTCGGCGGCGCATTCGACTCGTCTCGGGCGGGCGAATTCTCGGCCGGAAGATCGGCGAAAAAATTATAAAATAATATTTTATTCGCTTTACCTAACGATAACTGTCTTGGATAAAATTTGTCGTGAGGGTTTTTTAACGACGTCCCCGCCACCACTCCTCTTTCGATAGTCGCCGACAGGGACAATAACGATGATGATAACACAACGAAAACAACAACAACAATAACAACAATAACAATAAGGAGAATAGTAAAGGAGGAAATCACTGTTATTATTCCGCCGAAAAAATGTTCACGCGCGGACGTCTGACGGGGAAAACGCCACAAGGCCGCGCCACCGTCGGTCGCCCGGCCAGTCGCGCGCGCCCGAGCAGCCGATGTACCGCCGCACACGTCTGAACGGAGCGCGCCAGTCACCAGTCAGTCCGGTGTCCGTTGTCAAACTGTTCAGTAAGCGCACCGCCGCACGACAGTGTTCACTCGTGTTGTGTGTAGTCGTCGCTCGTACGTGTTTTGTTTGTTTTTATTTTTGTCGTAGAACGAGTCTTAACACCTGCGCCGTTTGTTTCAATTATTATTTTTTTTTGATTTATTGAATTTTGATTTTTTTTTTTGGTGATCTAATTTAAAAAAAAAAATTGTTAATTATTTAAAAAAAATAAATAAAATCTGGTTATTACGAAATTATTTAAGTATTTAGTATTATTATAATTAAATCGAGTTTCGTGCGCCAGATGCTTGCAGTGACCGTCGCCAGTGATTTTCGACGTCGGTGTCTCCAGGAGGAATATCGGTGTTAACCGCGCGCGCGTGTGTTCGACGCCGCCGCGGGATCTCGTCGCGCGAAACCGTCGCCGTACCAACCGATGGCTTTGAACGCCACTACGTGTTACAACAAGGCGGTGATCGCGGGCTACGGGTCGTCGTACCCCAGCCCGCTGGCCGCTTCCGCCGGCGTTCCGTCCTCCCTGATGGTGGCCGCGGCCGCCGGATCCGCGGGCGGTTCGCCGTCGTCCCGATCCGGGTCGTCCGGGTCCGGTAGCGGGCTGTCCGGGTACCGCGTCAAGGACTTCAACGTGCCCTTACACGTCGATTGTAGCGTCGAATACGAAATGCCCAGCTCGGCCAAACCGCCGGTGGGTGGCAAGGTCGAGCCGCTGCTCATGATCCACCCGTCGTATTACCGGAAGGCCGAGAGCCGGACCCGCAGCCTGTTCGTCAACAACATGCCCGCCGCCGCGTCCGCATCGTCAGGACGGAGCAGACCCTCGGCAGCCGCAGCCGCCGCGGCCGCGGTCGGCAACGTCTGCGGCAGGTCGGGCGTATCTGCCGCCATCGCGAACGCCGCCGACGGACCGCCACCCGCGAAAAAACCGTACGCGGGACCGGCGCCCGGAGTGACCGCGTCCACCGCGGCCGGTGTTTACGGTATGGTCACTGGTGCCGTGGCCGCCGCCGCCGGCGCGTCCCAATGGCCGCCGTTGGGCTCCAGCGCCGAGCACCAACACCACGACGGCAAACGCACTCTGGACATGGTCCAGCGGCAGTACCAACAGCACCTGCAGGCCAGTCTACCCCCGCCGATGATGACTGCCGCCTTGCCTACCGACAAAACCCACATGACAGGTTAGTTGACGAATTCTTAGATGATTTTCTATAGCTGTTGTATTTTATCGTTACTATAATAATATGTAGTAAAGTTGAAAATGATTGCTGTCGTGCCAACGGTTCTGATCCGTTTGTGGGATGGGAGGGTTTTGATATTTAAAATGTGTAAAAAATGAGATTTTCGTGACCGTCCAACGTATAATTCGAGTCGAATATGCTTCGACTACTGCACAATTTGCCTGTGAACACTTTTCTCGCATATTAAGCAGTAATATGGGCTTCGGAACGTGTCCAACGCAGATCAACGATAGTGTAATTTTTTTCACAAACTCGATCGTCGCCACCTCTCGGTTATCGTATTGTTTCAAAATTAATCTTTTTCGTTTTGTTTGTTATTCTGTCTATCACTGTTGGCGAATAAAAAACTCGAAAGACAACGTTTTAATCTTGTTTTTCGGTCCGCATTTCCACGTCGTCGTGGTCGTACGTGTTAGTCCACCCGCATTTTTGTCATATCGCTGCTCCAAATTTCTCGAAAAACAAAAAATAATAAGTAGGCAGGTCTAAAAAAATGTATTTATTTTCGTATCGCTATCCGATGGGCGACGCCTGTTTTCGTTCGTCTTATCGTCCGAGGTGGAAAATAATTGGTCCGGTAAACGATTGCGATCGAAAGTATATATTATGTATATTGTATGGTGTATATATAGCTACCTACTAGTTTTCTTTTTTCTATATAGATATTCACCGAGAAAAGCGCTTGTACAACAAAAACCAATTATGCCGTCCCGTTTCGTTTTTGGCTCGTTCTCATAATATACCTTTAATTTTTTTTCTTGCAAGAGAGCATTCCATTTCGTTTTGCATTTTTACAGTTTGACGGCGGAACGTGCGAAGGTTGCGACGACGGAGGGTCGTGTCGCCTGTACATTTTAATGCTTAAAAAGTTTATCAAAAAAAACTACCAATTTTTTAGCGTATTGTCGGTGAACAAAAAATTAGTATTCCTCCGGTGCGAGGGGGCACATCGTTCTCACAAAGAACGCTAGTCTCGTACACGGAAAGGGGAGGAAAAGAGCCGGTTTTTTTTTATTTTTTATCACATTCACGTCCGTAATTAACGTTGATTTATTGGTCCGAAAAAGAAAAGAGAAAAAAAAAATTAGGTAAGGGGTATAAAGAAGAAACCTTTGTTAATTACACACTGCGCGAGTTTAAAAAAAAAAAAACGTATACCCTTTGAAACCGGGCTGTATATAAAATAATATTATTATTTTTATATTTTTTCTTTTCGGATAATTTCGTTTCGGAAATCGAGAGAATTCCGCCGTTGAAAGTTCTCTGGAAATAACACCCCTCGTCAAAGAGTTGGGCGCGCCAGGGCGGCGCGTTAAATCACAGCAGTGCCGACTTCACTTAACTCTGTATACACTAATTACGTGCGCTTTATTATTATTTATTTTTTTTTCGGGCGCAGTTCGCGTATTTCATTTAATTCTGTTTTGTTTTCACCCGTGGTTACGTGGTGGGGCCTTGTCCCTCGGGGGGCCTCGCTAATAAATTACAATAATAACGCCGCCGCCTCTGCCGTCACCGTCACCGATAAATTATTATGGCCTAGGGTTTATAAACCTCCCAAATTACAAGTCATGCAAACGTTTTCGATTTTTTACATTATTCGTTTTTTTCCCCCATAATCGAAACAGCATTTTAAGAGTACCGCCCTCCCCCCTTACTTACATACACACTGTGGACGAACTTTCTTGCTCAACAATATATGTAGATTTGTTGCGGCGTATCAACTTTCAAACGACCTTGTGTCTGAAATTTGTTCTTAATTATTACACACGAATGTTGTATCCGTATACGCGCGCATAGAAAAATAAACACGCCGAGGCAATATTATAATACATTTTTTTCGGCTAATTGAACAGCCGCAAATCTCTGGTCGTCGTCGGCCGCAAGAGTGCGATTATTTAAATACTAATTAATATTTAGCGTACGTAGTAAAATATATTATGTATATAGGCATGTAGTATAGGTAGTAGGTACCCACTCGATGGTTATAACAGGTGTGTAGTAGTTGTCCCGACAGAGATATTTCGCCCGTCGGCTGCGTTGACGATGATAATAATACTAATGATAAAAAAAAAAAAATGGAACAACAGTACTTAAAATATAATGCAGGACGCCCAACATTCCCAACCACAAGGTATACAACGCTGAGCTTTCGGTTATCGGCTTGGTATATGCCCTGTGGTCGCCTATGCGTGGACACCGGAACAGCTGTTGCAGTACTAACTTTTGTGTCTTAACGACGATAATAATCGCTTTTTTTTTCATCGTAATTATCATCATCAACGCGTCATCGTCGTTATAATAATAATAATAATAATAATAATAATACAATATTATATATTATTCCAACACGTCTGCCGGAGAAAAATAATGATTATGATAATAATAGTAACAGTATGTGTGTTTTGTGTACTATAGTACCTATAGTAGTGTGTGTCTATTGAAATTTTGCTCATGACTCATGCATAACGCGCGAGCCGCCGCCGATATACGCGCACAATGGTGTCAGACGTCTGAAACGGATACGGTGTATACGCTCATTGTATTCAGATATTACGGCACACACACACACACACACACACACACCCATTTGGTCATCCTTTTCAAACACACCCGCGAGTGTGTGTGTGTGTCACTTGTTGTTGTTAATGGCTTCGTCGCATACGTTCGCGTCCCGCGTGCGATGACAATGCGCGAGGAGAGCTCGTGTGTGTGTGTACAAATGGGGGGAGGGGGAGTCGTGTCGAAATTTATCGTCTTCGAAAAAGGCGACGGTTGAAACGATAAGATAAACGATAATATTATAAAATCGTATGGAGAAAAAAAAATTGTTGGAGTGTGTCGTGTGCGGCGTGCTTGTGTCGTTGCGACGAGGGAGCGCGTGACGGGAGGAACGAAATTTTTTCTGCGTACACTTTCCGCCCATTGTACCCCCGCACCACGTCCTACGGCTGTTCGTATTGCGTTACCAGGTACGCTGCACGGCGTACTAGACAAAGTACTCATTTTTTTTTGCTCGTTTTATGTTCACCGGCCGAGGATAGACGAGAGAGAACCGATTTTGACCGGTGACCGTTTTTTAAAAACATTATTTTTTATTTTGTTTTTATTTTTTTATAGTGCTATAAAATGATCGTATATGCTCTCGCAGTCGGTAGAATTATATTTTCTTATATTCTCGGAAACTCCGTCGTGGCCGTTTTTATCGCCGGGTAGAAGTGGTAAAGTTTTTTGTTTACATTGTTTACAACGAAATATCTACTGCAGGAGTAACCGATTTTCCGGTATTATAATATTATATTTATATATAGAACAGTGTAAAGGCGAGCCGTATAATTTGCAAACTGTTTTTCCCCCTATCCCGCGAACTGTCCGTTCCTCTGTCTCCGTGGGGTATAATAATAATATAACTCGTATGTTCGACAACTCGTATACCATAAATAATGCACACACACGCACACACGCATGTTATATGGGCCACCGAAGCGAGAGACTTTATTTTCGTTACGTAATAGTACGTATAAGAGTGTAAAAATAATATAACAACATAATACGGCCGCGTTGCCGAAAATAAAATCGAAACGCGTCGGGAATGGTGTCGCGGGATTCGGTTCCCAGACGACGACCATATTGAAATATATTGAATATTCGGTGCACATAATATTCGCTTTTTATCGGAACACTCGTGAGTGTGTACACAATATGGTGTACGACGGTGCCGAGAATTACAGTCGTGGAGTTTATTGTTTTACTTTTTTTCAATCTCACTGCCGCCGCCGCCGCCGCCGCCACCACGCGCGAAGCGTATTTTATTTTTTTCAACATAAATCCCGCGTACGATGACGTACATCATTTGTCCACAAAAAAATATCACATTCCCGCACTCGTCTTTCAGCGAAAGGAATAATGAAAAAAAAACACACTCCGTCCGTCTGTATATATATATATATATGTAGCGTCCTCCTCGACACTGTATAATATAAATACACATATAATAAATAGCATTTGACCCTAATTTTTGTCGCACGCTCTCGATTTGCTTCAATCCCCCCCTCCCGCCCGCCACCGCCGCCGCCTCAACCCTACAGCCGTCCTGGTCGTTTATTAGTTTTCCGTCTGCGTTCGGTCCGCCGTCGTCAATTGGGTCTCATTAAAATCGATATCGTCTCCCGCTCGCGCGCATGCAATTTATTATAAAATATCGCTCGAGTGTTGATCAAAAAACGGCCTATTATATATTTTATCGTATGCTCGTATTCTCGCGTTCGTCCGACGTAGGACAGAGAGAGAGAGAGAAACGCGCTATGGGGTGTATGCAAGTATTATACTCGTAATATTACAATATCGTATCAGCAAACGCTCGCATATCATTATAAACAGTCGGTCGACCGGCGATGGCCGTCTTTGGAGTTCCTGTTCGTACATGACATCGACGACGACGGGAAACCTGACACGCAGCCTGTACGTCTATCGCATAATATATAAGGACGTGCGACCACATTACTGTGTGCGCTCGTGACTCGACGACCCCCCTCGGAATGGTTTCACAGAATTTTCGATTCGTTTATTTTTTTCGTCGATGTCACACAACGTTTTTTTTTTAAATTATTTAACTCTCGTGGGGAACCACCGCTCGAGGGAAGACTGAAAGACGGAGGAAAAAAAGCTTTTAATTGTTCTCCGATGGTATCTGCAGCTATACCGACATCGTACAACGATTTCACTACACGTTTGTATTATATATACGTGGGTAATAATAAGCGAATTATTCGTCGGTTAGATTACGACTGCCGGTAACCTACTCCCGCAATCCGCCGACCCGCTCGACCGGCGATTATCGATACGACCGATCTAAATTGCTTTTACATTATTATTATTATTATGCGATTATGTTGTTTTTCAAAGAACGTGGGGTGCGGTACCCACCGATTATTATTTTTAACGTCTATTCGCGATCAATTTTTTCACCAATTAAACGCGTTTGTGTATTTTTATTTTCATTTCGCTCGCCTGCAGGTTTTCTCCTCGGGAGCTCGTCGAACGTATGCACTGTGCAGCGTATAATGAAATACGAGATTTATCGTCCTCGGATGGCGTATTTACGCGTTCATAATAATAAATAATAATGGCACGACGATGATACACACTAAGGCCGCGTCTTTACAATTTTCAAAGGTTTATTTTCTTTTTCGTTTTGCGCCAATCCCCCGGTGGGTCCCCCGAAACCCGAACGAGCACATCACTTGCACCTCATACCGAGAACACGACCCCGTGCTAAAAGGATGAAAGGGCGCTTCGACAAAGAGGCGTACGATTATCATATGGGCCCTTTATCGAAAATTTTGATCAATTTTTTTCCCCCCATTCACGTGTTCCTTAGTCACGGAATCCGTGTACCTCCCCCATCGGTTGATGGTTGTGCGTCGTTTCTTTTTATAAAATATTGTATTATTCTTCGCGGGTCCAGTTTACGCCGCCCCGACGACGACAATCGGCCCGGCGATTTATTGCAATAATTTACAATCGTTACACATTTATAATACTCTTACGCTGCAGGCACACACACACACGATATATGTACATTTGAATCATACAATGCGCTCAAATACACTTATTATAATATTGTATTTATTATTTTACCGGTGGAAAGGAAAGAGAGAGAGAGAGAGAGAGAGAGGTTATTCCTTTATTCGCGCGGACGGCAATGTTATTTATGTGGTCCACGGAATGTGACTGTGTCTGTGTGTGTCATTCGTATATAATATTTTTGTTATTATATAAATGGCGATAAACCGTCGGACCGGAAAAATGATAATTTTAAAACGGGCGACCGACGTTTCAATGTTCACGTTTAGATATGTGTGTATTGTGTGCGTATGTTATACACTTATACAGGGTTGTGCTCTCGCGCTTACGTATATTATATAAATTATAAAGTATAAACTGCAACCGCCAACAAGCTCTATAAAGTGCGTATATTTACAGGCCATTACGGGTGAAAAGCAGTTTTTTCATCAGAAAAACTCACAACCCGTATTAAAAATACACACACGATAAAACATCATATTATTATATAGGTACAATTGTACACGTCGTATTTCACTGTACACCGGTTGTTGTTAAGTTATTTACGGCCGTCTGGAGAAACGAATAGTGTTTGATTAATTTAAACCACTGGAACGTAGTTGTACGGAATTCAAATATAATATTGTTGTCAAAATTTGATTCACACGTAAAGTAGCGAACAAAAAAACATTCATCACACACACACACACACACGCACACTATCAATTACGAATGTAAAACCAACGGAAATAGGTCAATCGCGGCTGTCGTCCGCTATACAAATATGGTACTATGTTAGCCAATAAAACGTCTATGAAATCGTATACGACCCGAGCATCTGCAGCACACCGTTGACGTTGTTTTCTTAGAGACGTGCCATGTCGGGTTATTGTATTGTTGCGAGTTACGCCCGAGGAAAAATTTACATTTACATTGTTTTTCTTCTATCGTGCTTTTTTCCCCCCTTTGGCCGTATACAATCTTGGTTTTCCTATTCTTCCGTCTCGTATAGATAAATATCAGTTGATATGTATGTACATATATGTATATTCGGTGGAGCCACTGAGTTTTTATGCATTAAAATATCAAATTGGCTTATTTTAAAATGTTTAGTTTCCGTTTATAATATAATAATATAATACATGATATTACGCGTCCTTCTCTCCGGAGGCTTCCTCTTCCTCGTCGGCAGCACCAACGAGAGAGAATAGACTGTTTGCACCACACGCTTTTAGTCTACAAAGGAGTATAATTTTAGCGGTTCTCTGAATAATAAGATTCTCAAAGCACACATTTTATGAGCATAGGTGCAGTATTAGCACTATACGTTACATTTTATAATATGTACAGTAAAACGATATAGTATATATATATATATGGTGAACTATTTTTTACCGGTGCTATAAGTTTATTATAATTGATAATGTTATATTTAAATATTTGATTTAAAAGGGCGTATGAATAATTCAGTAAGTAAGCTCGTTTAATGTATACCTATTTATATATAATATTATGATTCAATTTAATCGCGAAAAAAGTTTTTAAACAATGATTTCGAGATGACTGTATTTTTTCTGTTTTATGGCTGAACGTTGAAATATTATTAAGGACACAAAATTTAAGATCTCGTATATAGTCTTGAGAAAATATTTTCTTTCTAGTTGGTTGGGTAAAAAAAATGTTAAAAAACTTTTTCCATTCAAATTAAAATACACAATGTTTTCGTAAATTTTAATGGAGGTATAGGTAATACACTAGGTATTAATAATTCTAAAATTAATTTTTCGCGTCCTGAATGGAGAATTTTGTTTTTAATTAGTGCGTTTTCAAAGTATCTTCGAGTAAAATCACAAATTGTAAGTCGTTTCTTTTAGACATATAATACCGATAAACATTTTTTGAGGGTCGTACTACACACGACTCGATAATCACATTCTATCATAAAATTATATTTATTGAGTTACAGGTATTTTTGATATTATTGTACAGAATTATGCACGCTGAACACTGTTTAAAATCTAAACTGGTCGAGCTGACGTCATATAGAAAAAATTATATATCTGAGAAACCGTCTTTTGATTTAAGTACCTACTCACGTTTTGTTCACGAATAGAAAAACTATACCTTACTTCAGTTCCTTCGTAATTTTGTTGTCTATACAATATTTTTTCTTCTCTTTTATCTCGTGACAAGAAAGAAAACTTTTTCACTGCTGAATCGTCTACAGGTATAAAAGAAGTTTTCTGACGACGAAAAACTTACCTTCCTATCCTTTTTCGTCGATTGCAATGTATGATATTATATATATATTTAGCATTTATAAATTTAATAAAGGGTCTTATTTTTATTAATTCGTCGGGGACTCGGGGTTTCTTCGAGCTCGAATAATAATTAAAAGAAAAGGGGAACTAAAAAAAGGACAAAATAGTTTTAATTAAAAGAAAGAACGATGCAAAAAAATGTAAAAAAAAAACGTGTTCTGATGGCGTTTTTTATTTTTTGTCCCTGTTTAGTGCCGAAAGGGTGTTCTTGCTGCCAGGCGAAATTATTAAAGCGCAAAGCCCAACAACCGTCGTCGGTGCCACAACAACAACAACAACAACAACCTCTACAACAACCACAGCAACACCATATCCACCATCACCAACAACAACAACAACTACAACAACAGCACCTGCCGCAACCACCTCATTTACAACAACAACAACACCTCCATCACCACCAGCAACAGCAGCAGCAGCAGCAGCAACACCACCATCAACATATCCATCATCAGCAGCAGCAGCAACAGCAGCAACACCATCACCATCAACAGCAGCAGCAGCAGCAGCAGCAACAGCAACAGCAGCAGCAGCAGCAACAACAACACATCCATCAACATCATCATCATCAGCAACAGCAACACCAAGAGTACCACAAGTCGAGGCAAAACGAACAGCCGACTCCGCAACTGTGGGGTTTTAACGGTACCATTGCTGCGGTGTTGCGCAACGAGTACGGTGGCAAACCGACAAAAACGTTGGGACGCATCACCGACCCGATCAACAACATCCTGACGCCCACATACATGTTCTGAGCGTCCAAGTTGTGATGATATTTTTATTGTATTTTGTGATAGTTAGACTGTTAAAACATTTTTTTTTCTTTAAAAAAACGCGTTCGGATCGAACAGATCGACGAGAAGAATATAATATAATGATTAGGTATTGGACTTGTACGGTGAAAATAATAATAATGTATACACCTATATAATATGTTATCATTATTGTACCTAATTATAATAATATGTCATGTACGCGTGCGTTTAGCGTGTCGTGTACAAAAAATAATATTATACATAGTTGTAGACCGCAACGGAAATATATAATATAATATAACGACGATAATAATAATAACAATATCATTAACCAAAAAACAAAAAAACAAAAAAATATATAATAATATTTGTATTAGCCGTTCAAGTTTTCACGTGTTTGCGCGCCGCGTAATACAATGTAATGTGTTGTTGTGATCATATTATTACTATTATTACTATTGTCATTACATCGTCCATGTTCGTTCATGACAATAATAATAATTATGATAAATAAACAAACTCGCAAACATTTATATATTATATTATAATATGAATATTATGTACGCGCGAGCAGTGAAAACGGCGTCCGGCCCACCACCTTGGTGTGGGGGCGGGGGTGTTGTGTGTCCGCCGCGTATATATAGTTGTCAAACGTGAGATTTTGTTTTGTTTTTAGCGGACACCCCCTCCCCACAACCACCGGACGTCCGGAACGTAGGTACACGTTTAATATATTATTGTGTATGTTTATTTTTTTATTTATACTTATTTTTTTCGAAATACGACGCACGGACCTGGCGGCTGAAACGTGCGTCGTCGTCGTGTACATATATTATATTATATTACATTATATTATACTATGATGATTCCAATTTTTTTTCTTCTTCTATATAGTTCGTGCGTGTCGCTTTTTGTTGTGTTGGCTGTGAAATATTGTGATAATAAAAATTTAAAAAAATAAATAAAAAGAAGAAAACGCACGAAAAATTAACTACTCACCGTTTTTCGACAAATCGAGAAAAATACCAACCACCGTTTTCTCCAAGGGTATATTTAATAATATATTGTATTATAATAAATTTCTTGCGTAAAGACTGAACGAATATAATATCTTCAAAAAAAATTATATGAATAAAAGACTGTAGCCCTTTTACAGTATATATAATACAATAATAATAATAATATATAACAAAACAGTCAGGGGGTATGAAAATACTGTATAAGTTCCTTATATGTATAAAAATGAAAATTATACCTACCCTTTTTTGTTTTCATTGGAATCAATTTCAAACTGTAAACGTGTTATGACCGACAATTATTTTCGTCTGATACCAAACGTAGACGTTATTGTTAAAAAGAAAATAGCGAAACAAAAACGACAAAAAAATAAATTATTTACATTTTCTCTCGATTCATCGTCGTCATCTTCATCATTATCGTCATAAATCATAATAATATGGTATATATACATAAAAGTGTACATTCCTATATAATTTTATCATTATACATATTTACGACTTATTAGGTGTGCCTGTTTAATTTGTGTAATTTTTATCTAGTCTGGTTGGATAATGGGCCAAAGAGCTAAACATACATATTATATAAATAATAATATATTATATTTTTTTTCTTACGATAGCGCAAAATATCTACAGCGGGTTCACGGGGAGGGGGGAGGGCTTCGTTCGGAATAATCACTCACAGGCCTAATAATGATGAGAATAGGTCTATATATTATACGATAGGACTCGATAGCGTTCGGGGAAAAAAACGAAAATAAATAAATACACACTCGAGTACACATTAGATAATAAATTGTATTTTCTTTACAAACAATAAAAAAAAATTGGTCGGCCTGTGATACACCTTAAATTTCTCTGACATATTTTTCCATTTTTTCGTTATCGTTAACTTTTTTTTTGTTTTGAATAACATTTTAAAACGAATGAAATATATAACTATATTGTATTTGTAATATTTATTTTTAGATACCACACTTAATGTTAGCATTCTATTTGTAAATTAGACGTTAGACATATATATATATATATTATTATTTTTTTTTAGCCTGTACAAATGTTTTTTTTTGTAATTATCCTAATTTCAGGACGTGGTTTATTTGTTAAAAGAAAAATACCTAACATGAGAAAAAACAATTTAATAAATACACGAGATTATATAAAGGAAACTCTATTTGGTTCATTTTTTATTCTTCATACGTAACCTATACCTATACTAGAATGAATGATACTCCAGGGTCTAAAATTGTGTGCAATAAGTTCACAATATTTTATATAACATCTATAGATGTTACTCACGAGTACGGAGTTCAACGACTGCACTGATAAATGCTACTTTATATTATTTTAAATAATCAATGATTGATTATATACATTATAGACGCAATATAGATGCGTTCTATGTAAAACTTAATGTACAAATAAATACAATTTATGCAGATTTCATCGGAATTTTCTTTTAAGAAGAAAAACCGAAAGACTCCGCATCCTTCCCCGTGTGCGAATAATAAGATTTTGTACACTTAAAGGTCACCGCTGAAACGTCTCCAGAGGAGGAGTGCGTGTGACATTTGTATAAATTTACTCAAAGGTCTTATGGGAAAGGAAACATCGCGGAAATGTCAAAATGAGCAAGCATTAAAAAAAAAATTAACAGATTTTGTCGTGGTGGTTCGACTATGGTTTGGACGCGGAACAGGTGATATAATATTATACCTACTATTTAATATCAAATGGCGGCAAATTGGAAGAAGCGACGACCGGCAGTTTCCAATAAAACTGCACTCGGGTGGTGTGCGGAATGTTGTTGTTCACCTTAAATACATAGTTTTTATTGTTTTCGATTTGCGATGCACGTTCATATAATTATGAACATTTTTAATTATAACACATAGTTATTTCTGCAGCAGTCGTACACTTGGAATCCGACTTGCCACGATGAATTGAATATAAACAAAATATAAAATATTATATGTATTGGTGGTGGCTGATGGGACTCGATTTACCGATTTCAAAATCTAGAAAATCGCTGTACCCACAGAATACCGTGGTGTGATATGGTCGTACGGTAATGCATTAAAAAAAAAAAAAAATTTAGGCAGTTAACGTAGGTACATTAAATTGATGGATGGCGGCGTCATATATACGTTTCGATTATCCTATTATATATTATTATGATGTGGGCAGAACTCATCACGTCGGTAGTTCTCAGCAAAAATATGACGTCGTCCTTCAGATTTGATTTTATAGGAAAAGACGATGTGCCGTGTTCATGATCGCTCTCGTTTTTATAATAACGCGGTCGTCTGTGAGGAAATTTCAGTGGTACCTATATTTATTGGAATAATAATTATGACGGATATGAGCTAAGTATAATTATGTTGTAGGATTTAAACATCATCGAATTGCCGCGGGATGATACGGTAAGTAGAACAGTCTAATGGCACCACACGTGTAGAGCAGATTAGACTGACAGTAAAAAAAAATCATTTAACTAGTCACTTTTTTTTCTAGAATTCACAAGGAAGAAAAAAATTGATTTTTCATCTATCTGATTTCATTTAGGTAATATATACGGACGTTATTTATTATTTGGCTTTTTGGGCACAGCAACTTTTTATTTAACCATTGTTGATATTACTTAATAGTTAGTAATTTGCAAGACATCCAAAGTTTAAAAATATTTTTTTTTTGTTAGTATATATCTATCACCTACTCATGTTATGTTGATTTTGTGTCTTTTAATAATTTAAAAAACAACCTAAGTTAACCCAACCGCGACATATTATATAATACATGTACTTAATTATGTTATACTTATAGGCATCTGCTCGTTTTCAGCTTCTGGCAATGCGAAATAATTTATATTTGTACACGCACATGAACGAAAAATAAACGTTAAATGTTTCAAACTCCCAAAGAGAAGATGTGAAATGGTTTCGCTGTATAGTATGTATATTGCATTATATATCGGTAAAGTAAATTATTCACGTAGGTACACCATTTTCGGAAGGACACGACGACAAAAAAAAAAAAAAAAACCTTTCGGAATATGACTAGGCAGGTATAATATTATGTGATCATAAATAACTATACAAGTATTATACATTACATAATAATGTAAATTTAGTACGTAAAATGTGTCGTTCTAGTTATTCGTAACTATAACATTATAATATATCTATCCGTAACACGCATAATGTAAACTTTCAGGGTGTTCAATTTTTTATCGATCGATCTTTGTGGTTTTGAAAAAAGTTTTTTTATGACCATAAATTCCAAATAAACTATAAGTATGGGTACTCATACAAATCAAATGGTTTTTTCCAGAGAATCAAACGAAAACGACATGTTGTACTGGTCTACAATTAATTGTTTTTTAAATACTCACTAAGATAAAAAAAATTCATTTTTCGAGAGTGTGTCGTGATAGTGATAATAACGTATACCTGTGTTTTAGACACCTATACTTCAAAATGTTTTATTCCCAATCACAAGAATCGACCGAGTAAAATGTGATAGTTTAGCTGCACGTGTAATTATATATTGGGTCAATGAAACTAAAAAGACAATCGTATAAGTTTATATATAGGTATAACATTTAAACCGCCGCTGTGGTTAAAAACAACAATGCCGTTTTTGTGTCTGTATTCGAGCGGTATTATGTAATAGATTTTTTTTTATTTTAAATATTAACGTGGTTGCCTTCGTGATAATAACGTCGGATGACATACACAAAATATATTACCGGTCACGTGGTACGACGACAAAGAACGCCATTTCGAATAAGAAACATAATAATAATGTGCTTTGTTTTTAATAGACTATTTCTTTTTTTTTTTTAGTAATACAGATAATAAAATGTGTAATGCGAACGTTTTAAGTTTCTAAATTGCCAAACCAATTTGTAGTTTAATAGTCTCGTACGTGTACAAATGTGTATGCGGAAAAAAATTTTAAACGATCGACCTTAATGTCTGTTTATTGTAAATTTTATGATCCGGCGGTTTTTTTTTGTTGAGTATATTTTGTTATTTCACCGAAATTATATTCAATATATTATGTATCATTCGAAACCGTATCGTTTTTATGCACGTGTGTTATAATATGAGTTTTTGTATTCTTCCCATTAATCAAGAAAGTTTCTCTGGTTTTTTTCTCTACATTTTGGTGCTATTATAAAACACCAAATATACAATACACACCTAAACAAGTATCAACTATTAAAAAGTTTCTAAAAAAAAAAAAATCACTGTATCATTAAAAAATTATGCACAGTTATTATTATCCCATGTATAGTATATTTAAATAGTGTGCCTGCGTTGACCAGAGGCATAATATTTTAATATAATATATGTTATAAATTTAAAATACTGCGATTGATAAATCAATTGCGGATCGTTTATATGTATATAGAAGAAAACGCTATTGTCTTCGATGCACACATTTTTGTCCAATGCCAGCGAATAGGAAATTCGAAAATCTCGAGGCAAGATGTTTGCTGCCATGGTCTAATTATATAGGTATTCAACATTTCAATGTATTGAAAAACGGGGAACGATATGAACGCTACCTACCTTGTTCTATATATGCATTTATACGTTGAAATGTCGACGTCCGAAAACTTGCGCGTTGGACAACTGTCGGTGGCCAACCTATATATAAAGGTAACCTATATATATCGATCAGGTAGTGAGTTACACATTGAACATAGTATAATATTATCACGATGTGTATAAATAATGTATGTAAATAACAATAACTATATGTATATCGACAACGTGCCCATCGCTGCGACGAGCCAGCTGGTCGTAAGTCAAGAAGACAAACGGTGTTCGCCTGTCGTCGGTGCGTGGGATACACTTTATAAATATAATTATTTACGTTATTATCAACGATATTGCGTTAAACAGATTTAGTCGCCGACTGTGTTATTCGGAATGCGTAGTGCGAGAGACAGCGGGAGGGGGGAGGGGGGAATCAGAGAGTGTACTGAAAATAACAATCACTCTGTAATAGGGTAGTGTATGAAATTCGCCTTTTTTGGATTTGTATCAAAAATGAAACGGGGCAAGGCAGCACAAGCAGCAACAGCAGGAATGCTTGAGTCTCTATATTGGCATTCCGGTCAACGCTGTACATAGGTATTATAAGGTATATGAAATAGATAGGTATACATGATCGCGCTGTTATTGGTTTGGAATAAATTTAATTTGTTTTTATACATTATCCAGACGTAAACAGAATGAGCCGCCGCCACCGCCGCCGCATTCATGTGTGTAATAGTAATATAATAATAATCACAATATCATATTATACTATGTTATACTACACATTAGCAATACTATACAACACGGATGGGATATGCTTTCTGTGTTGTTGCTATATAGTGTCACATACAGCGATATAACAGAATACGCCATCAATGCGCGATTAAACATGTGATATAATTAATATAATTAATATAATATTCTGTGTCTATATAGAAATCGCGGTATTTAGAAGAAGACAAACAAACGGAGAGTAGTGATGACGCTGACCGATCGAAATTACATAATATACTTTACGTCGCCTACGTAATCGCTACATCGCCTTTAAGATATACATAGAGATTACTTATACATATACTTGCTATGACCTACATTTTTATAAACAATTTTTTAATGATAATCGTCTCGTGTAATCCATTTTATTTTATAGGTGCCTATTGTTGAATTGCTCACAGTCCGCAGTTTGTTCAGTTCAAAACTTACCGAATATTGTGATACCTCTCGAAAGCGTTAATTTAGTGCCGTGGGGTGGCCACAGCTCGAACAATTTTTTTCCCATGGTGGACTACACGCCAGAGTCGAGTAGGTAATTTTACGCGCAAAACTGCACAGTATCTTGTCGGTTGTGTCACGGACGAAAATGATTCAATCTGGGAAAATTAATTGTGTCGTTTATAGTGAAAATTGTACTCGTCGACCTGCAAATAAACAAAACGGATAGAAAATTATAATATCGAGAAGAGGTAATGATTGTGGTCGAATCCGACCGTTTCGCAAAAAAAAATAATAGTAAGGATAAAAATAACAATAATAATAATAATATACGATGTCTTTTTTTTAACAACCTTATATAAACCATTACTTTGGCATCATTTATTTATTTGTTGTTTTTTTTGCCGAAGTTGCGTACGCAGAAAAACGTTTTCGGTCCAAACAAGCATAATATAATACAAACACACTCACACACACATACACACAAAGATAATACGAAGAATCGTTTCCAGTTTCCAACGCGTGAAATGCCAACGAGGTAGGATAATACGAAACGCGTTTTCAAGTGGCAATTTAATTTTAATGATAATAATCGCACACAGCCGTGTCCGCTATAAATCAATATTTGCAGTGTAAACGCGAATTCCAATAGTATTATCTTGACACCGACGATTTCGATTTCGGCGCCGAAAGAAAAACGTCGTCTCGCAGCCCCGAGTGCGTCCGGCCGGACCCGTCTCGCAGCGATGATCTGTTCTACAACACCGCCCTGGCGTCTGCTGCTAATTTTAATGGCTCAGGTATAATACACGACGTTATGTGCGTGTTTATTATTTTAAAATTATCATGCGATGTTTATTTTATTATAATTGCCATGTTTTTCGAGATAGCGAGAGTTGGTTGATTTCCGGCGAATAAACTCTATAACTACGAGATATTGTTGTTATATTATACGATATATGCTGAGGCTACCGAGTGATTATTTTTTTATGTAACGTTTGCATCATCTAAAAACGTAAATACCGTCTACGTTTTTAAAATGTGTATTTTCACATCATATTTTGAAGTTTTTTGTTACAATTTCGAAGCAGATAGTTTTCCGAGAATTATGATGCGAAAAAAATTGATTCTCGGAGAGTTTTAGTAAATGTTGTTTTAACTACTAACCAAGAAAATGTCCGTGCATTATACCCCACAAAACGTTAATTACTAGGTATTGTTTATAAGTTTATATAACTAATTAAATATTCTATAGAATATCTATTGTATGTATTAAAGTTTTCAGAAATATTCTATTGTTCTATTTTAGAACCTTAAATTCAGAATAGTAAAAAACATTAAGAGCGATGAAGAAATAAAAATACATTTTTTTTTCAGAAATAATCAGTTTAGTACATTTTAATTATGGCTTTCAATTATCTAAAACAAAATATTTTCAACACGTTCATGCTTTTCATAAAAAAGAATCACCCTGTACATAATATATCATACCTACAGAAACAACAGCGTCGCGTTTTATTTTAATTGGTTATATCTCGTATAATATATCATAACATGTGTATAATTTATAGAATCATATAACCTACATAATATTGTTTTGTTTTTTTTAACGTCTGTGTAAAAAATATATATATTTATAAATGTATTTATTTATTATTATTATTTTGTTTATGGTCTGCAGTTGTGGAATGTGTCTTTACTTTTTATTTATGTAAAATATGATAATGATATGTATTTTAGAATAGTATATCATAATAATTAATCGTGAATCGTATACCTTACACGCGTTTAATACCAATAATATGTCTGTAATAATAATCCGTTTATTTTAACAACTTATTTGTTCCAAGTGTACGAGTGAACAGACATTTGGCGATTATAATATGATATAGTATGATAATATTTTATCGATTAATACCAATCCTGTGAATAATTATAACTTTGAAATCTATCTATATAGGCTATAAATGTTATAACTTTTATAATATATTATTATGTTTTCGTTTTGCGATTGGCGTTTCGATTTTAGGTTTGGCGCCGCTCGGTGTCTGCAGAGAATTAGAAGAGGTTCGTGAGAATTCAGTATAATAATATTATTATAATCGTCGCAATTCTGCGATTTTCCTACAACGCAAAAACAAAGAACGTATCGTTTTGCCGGCTACTGTGCAGTGTACATTACATATTATTATTATTATTATTATAGTATGCTGCACAGAAGTAGAATGTCGATTATTATTATTACCGTTTTTAAATGTTCTTTCACTTGACGAAAATAGCAATTATTACGACATTTTCCTATCATATACGCCTACTACAAACGAGTCATAAAATAAATATGGCATGCGTATTTTTATTTTTAATGAACTTAACTCTTATTTAAGTCACGAACGCGCTCGTAATGCAACACTCATTACGTGTACTTAATTTTTTTTCTCGATGATTAATCGATTACGTTTAAAAGAACACAAATTGTGAGGAAACTTATTGTTCGGTAGGAAATAACAATTTCATCGTCAAAGAAACCGACCGGCATAATGTTGGCGCACGTCACGTCACAATGATTATAATATGTCGTCTCTGCATCGTACACACGAGTAGGTTCGTAATTTGGGTAAATACTAAATACATCCGCCACGACCACCATTGCCGCAAGTGGCTAATCACAACAGGACTTTGCAGGTCTCGAGTTATTCGAAATCATTTCAATTACATATATTAATATTTATGAATCATCAAGGCACGCGAAGAAATTCGGTGCATAATAATATACTATACTACGTACATTATTATAATTTATATTACGTATCACTGTAATGTTATAATATTTTTACTCTCGTATATTAGTAATGTTATAAATAATATCAGTGTTTGGAAAGAACGTCATTTAGCTAGTGACAGATAGTCGCTTTTTTCAAATAGAACTTGAACGTGAACCCCATTAATATTTTTATTGAATCCAAACGATTTTTAAGACATTAACATTTATTTACAATTTAATAAAATATATAATATGTTTAAATATTGAGTAATAACGTTCTATAATATAATAAAATATTCTATTGTACATTTTAAAATATTCCTGTTGTATTTATTTGATTACGAAACAGACAAATAAAATGAAACAATTTTAATAAAGGACCGAATTATCTCAAAGAACGTGAACGAATTCGGTTTTTTTAGACAACGTATTCCAAACACTGTTATAATATAATCGGCCACGATAAGGTTTTCAGAGCGATAAAATATTTGGGTGTGGAAGTTACACAATATTATGCCGTCTGCCTGCGTGCGGCTGCTGCTATCGATTGATATTTTGCGAATCCGTCGAAAGTCAAACATCGTTTTCTTTCGGCCAGAAGAGATACAATATAATTTATAGTCACTTTATAGTCTGTTACTGTACGTATATAACAATAGATGCAGCAGCACTACACGTCTTTATATCGTGTCCGGTTATTATTGTATGTGTATAGTCTTCGAAGCCTCTGGCTGACACATAATTATTATTATTTAACCCGAAATATCTCGGGGGGCGTACACCAACTACATGTATATATATATGCTGTATTATATGTTTTATAACATGTGTACCGCTGTAACAATAGTAATAATAATGTCGCACGGAATACGGGACGTTTGTTTGTATTGTTATTAATAATTTTTTTTTATTTTTTCACACTTTTTTTTAACGTTTCGGTATACTCGCGGCCTGCTTCTTCCCGGTGAAACGCGTGATTGGCAGAGGAGAACATCATAATATCATGGTTATGGTTATACCGGCGACGGAGGTGACGGCGGTTACTGGTTGATACCGGTTAATGGTTACATACTTACATTGTATATATTATATATATGTATATATTATTTCGTGTTTATACAGTTTAGTTGTTGCTGCTGTAGACATGATAATGCCGATTGCAGCTAATCGATCGACCAAAACGCGGTTAAACGGTTTAACTTTCTCGGAGAGCAGTCGAAAACATCAGTGACGGCGGTGTACACAGATCGACGGGTATATACATATATCCATATATACAAGAGTATATCCATATATATATATATATATATATGTATCGTAAAGTGTAACACTTTTATATTTATATTAATTATAATAATAATATCGGCGGCGTTATTAATTATAATAATAATATCGGCGGCGTTGCAGACGGACGGATATAAGACAAATTAAAAAAACAAATTTTACGCTCGCGATTTCGTAATAATGTATTATATTTTGTTGTCAGCATACTTAATACGTGATTATCTCGTCTATACATGTATATATATGCTGAACAATATAATTGCAAACACCTAGCTATAGGTATTTCTTCGAATTTGAAACTATACGTGACCCGAAATCGGGAGAACGCTGTGCGGTTCTTCAGTATAATCAGTATAATTATAATAATCATAATATGCATGTACGTTTCGTATCTATATATAATATAATCTACCTAGTATGTTATGTAAATGTAAAAGCGATTATTTTCCTAATTATTTTTTAGTAATCAATATAATACATTATATTATGGTAATCACTTCGTTTTCGGTCGTCGATACACATAATAATATTATTATATTAATATAATGTGTTTGGGTATAATATTGGGGCGGCGCGATAAATCCGAAAATTGAGTTTGCATAATAATATAATAATGTCTTATTATAATAGGTGCACGAGTGTTTTTCTCAGGACATTAGCATTCCATGTCGCACAGACACAATATACGCTTCGTCTTATCCTTCTGCGTGCCTAATATAGTATTTTACCTGTATATATATAAGATATATATAGTTATGTGTCTATACATGTTATATGTATACATTTTTTTTCCACAGAGAAACTTTCTATATTGTAATGTCCTTTTTGTTTTAGCCGATTTCCCGCGCGTCACCATCCGAATGCAAATCCGAATTGGATCTAAAACAAATTTACTCTAATGCCAAAACTTTTCGGCATTATATTATAGACCTGAAACCGTCGAATGTTTTACACACCACTCACGTGTGTTTCTTCTATGGCTATGCGAACCGGTTGTGCGTGTACAGAAATGAAAAACATTTTATGAAATACTACTGCACGGTGTTTATAATGTATATATATACGTATTAGAAAACATTTTTTTATTATTATGTCTATATGGGCATAGTATATACGCGCAGTTTATTTTAATTTAATTTAATTTTTTTTTTGTTTCTAATGCGGTGAAGGTTACCGATTCGCAATTTGAATGCTAATTGACAATGGTATTGGGAAAAGAAAAAAATCAATAACAAACGCCGCACGTGAAAATCGTCGATATAGAAATAATTCTAGGTGGTTCCAAGTCCGACGATAATAATGTAATTCACACTTATATTATACTGTTGTATACCAGTAAAATGCGTGTACAGTTTTTTCCTTTGTTTAAATAGTTTTCGTGAGAACTCGTGTGTAAATATATACGTATATAATGAATAATATAATATACCTGTACGCGTGTATTATGTATGTGCCATTGGAAACGACGTGTGTTTGGCAAATCGCTTTTTTGGCAACGTTTCTCGGTAACAATCACGTATTCATTATTTTTGATCGATTACAATAATACTATGCGTGCACGAGGGAAATTTCAGGGTAGGTACGTGCAATTTATTTATTTTTATCTACCGCTTAAAGTGTTTACCCACTTTATATAGTTGTATATATGCTGGTGTATATCGTATACACATATAGCCGTAGAATTCTATGCATTGAATATAATTTGGTCACGTACATGGAAAACATAATTGTATAACGGCGTGGTGTTGTTTAACGCGAATTCGTTAAGAATATTAGGAATGGCGCGTTTTACTGTAACGACTATGGAACGAAAAAAAAACAAAATGAAAAGTGTCAGGTAAACGAATTATTGTTTTCGACATATTAATTTTGAATCGCGTACCGTGTTCATTATTCAAACTACATATTTTACTCATTTTAATTTATTTTATATTATAATCGCAGCATTAACTGTTTATTTTTTATCATTTAAAATATTTAGTGTGTACCATAATAATGTAATTTAATTTAAAAGCTATTACTAAAACAACTCCAGGATGTTTAAATCGTGGGAAATCAATTGTTAACAATACCTTCTCAATTGTCTCCGAACGTGGCTCATTGTGACAGCTCTGCAGACGTTCGTAAAAAAGTACCAACTGTTCCAAGTATAAGAAGTCTGTTATAGGCAAAAAAATATCATTAAAAACATATTTTATATTGTATTTGATCGTTCAATCCATGTTAATTAGGCATGTGTGAAGAAACACGTGTTAGATTAATGAGTTATTCTAAAGTAATTAATTAATGAAAAATGATAGAATTTGTTTTTTCTCATATCATTAGGAGCTACTAAGTAGAACATTATAAACACATCAAAATCATTTAATGCTAATCAACTTTTTTTTTTAAACTATTATTGCAACAGCATGCTTAACAGTCAGTATCATTATAGGCGTGAGTATATATTATATTAGATTTATAGATTTTAATACATTGTTAATCGAAATAATATGAGTAATCGCACCACCATGTAGGTATAATATGCTTATGAGTTATGGTATTATTATAATTTATAATAATATATAAGTGTATAACCGGCAATAACGATGCGCACGAACAACCGTGACCTTTTATCAAAAAATAAAATACTATCATTGAAACACAATTCGAGATAATTTCTGCATGTACATTCGTTTTCGAATTTTGAAACATTGAATAACCACCGCATCGTCGTGCATATATAGTCACGCATAAATAATATTAAACGACTAATTATACTTAATATTGTTGTGAGTGTGTGTTATTAAAGGGACCTCGTGCAAGTATGCAACTCTTCGAAATAGGCGCTATTGAATATGTCTTGTAATTATATAAGTGTCGTTTCTATCGACACAGACTGCAGTGGGCGGTGGGCCTATGATGGGGTTGCAACATGGTGGGTATTATATAGTATATGTATGCAGGGAAGGTAATAATAGTACTGATGACGGCAAATAGTGATTACTGATTGTTAGTATTGTGAAGTCCGTCTCGTTTAATAATAATAGGTACACGGCAGTTCACAACAGACACCGATCAGTGAGAGGCTATATTCGATAAGCGTCCTATTTTATGAGTATACTTATGCAAATATCTATTTAAGTATCTAACAATATGTTTTAGACTAGGTATGGATGATGAATTAATGACAATAATTGAAGTTTCTTATTTAAAGATCCTTTTATTCCGTCTGACCCCGTCGTTAAAGTAAGGCGATACATGGTGTGGGGTGGGATGGGTCAAATAAACATATATGCTTGAAAAAAAACTATTCCTATTTATACAGAGTCCAACAACTCTTCCCCGAGATATCAGGTTGTATAAGGTACTAATGTACTAGGTCGCCCGCTGACCACGTGCAGAGTTATATTACTATGAGGTATCTGGATTGTTGTCTCACTGTATGTGAGGTGGGATGCAGAGCGATCTCAACGCTTCAGAAAAATTTTAAAGAAAAACCAGGTGCGTTGTGCCAAAGATTAGCATCAATCACCTAGGTACCTTCCTGTATATATTCCATATTATAATACCTGGTATACAAAAGTATATGTAATTACCATGATTTGTTTATTAGGAAAAAAACAAGTTAGTCGTGGTTGATACATTATTTAAAAAAATATATTTTACATTATTATCTGCTGGCATACCGCTTCGTCTGAAAGTAATTTGAAAGTATGTTCAATGTGACAGTCACGAGAAGTCCTAAACAATATATTACTATGCGTCTATGCCCGCTATAGTCAAACACGTTCCACGTTATTGATTGTATAGCTGCTGTTATTCTCATTATCAGTTGCTCAACGTATGTTAGAAATGTGTCGGAAACCAAGACATTTTCCCTTCCAATGATATTGATAAAGTGGCATCCCTCGTTTTTCCGTTTCCAATGCGTTTCATATTCGGTGGATTCTTTTATGTTCAACCTGCGTATAACATTAATAGGTATTATATATATATGTATATTATGTATTATGCACACAAATATATAAATATCGCCGTCAGCGGGGTATGTTGGTTTAGTTTTATCATCGGTTGGATTAGGGTTCGTAGGAGATATTTATATCTATGTGTGTATATACCTTGGTTAGCTGGTTAGCGGGGGGGGGGGGGAAATGACGGAAAACGTTATGAAATATGTAGGTATGTAAAAAATAAAACCACTGAAAATACGCCCACTATCCTGGAAAAAGAGATACGTGCAAATACAGACGCGTCGTGTGCATTGTGCATAATATACACGGTAATTCACCAAGTAGGCTATAGTGGTTATAGTCCCCATTTTTTCTTCAACTGTAAATCTATTCGAATTCTGATTTTTGGAATTTTTAAGTGTATTCAAAGACTGTATTTTCAGATAATTAGGCTTTTTCTGAAACAATCGGAGTGTCCTCTGGCGATACTAAGAATGGAATCGAGCATACGAAATTCGCTCTATATATCCATGTAAACTGTTAAGTTTGAGACAGTTGATTTAGAAGATTGGTTACGATGATCTGAAGATTATAGTAATTAATATTTATCTATCATTATTTTATCATTTGTTAAGATTTGTCCGAGTATAATAAATACTAGATATATCACATCTATTTTTGATTTTAGATTCAGAGCGTCAACTATGAAATAGTTGGTACTTTTGAGAGGCCAAAATTGAAAATTATCAGCACTTTTTAAAATAATTGTTTGGTAACCTACCAAGAAGTTAGACTTTCTTCTCTCTTCGCTCACAGCTATATTTCATCGAATACAATATGGCTGAATTCATTTTTAACTCATCCGCATTGCAGATTACAGTGCTTACTCAATGACGAAGTACACTATTATTGTACAGCAGAGCGGTTATACATACTTATACTATCCCTCTTTTTATGAAACGAAATTATTTGCTTAATCTTTTTTACCGTAAAAAAGAATGGTTTGCATTTGAAAGAAAAGGAGTTTATTCGTCGCCAATGGACATTTTCTCATACTGCTGCAGAGTGCAGATGATATAAAATACCTATCTAAATAATTAAAAATATGGTTCTTGGATATTATACCGTGCTTAAAATCTCCAGATATCACAATATTTGAATAAATTCATAATTGAAGGGTAAAATGTGGAGTCGAGCATTATCGGTAAATCGCCTTGTATAGGTATAATTATTAATATTTACATTGCAATAATAATAATTATAATAATATGTGTGTCGTTATTATATACATGCGAGATATTTATCCGGAAATGTATGACTCATAGGCGCTGGCCGAGATTTATGTCGAACGATTAATCGTGTAAATACTCTGTGCATCGGTGGCTGCAGCTGTGGCAGCGTGTGCGGAAAATTCCGCTGCAGTGATTTATCGACGAAGTCGTCCGATTCTTAGTCGCGGAAAAACCAAAACTCGCTCGTACAGTCGTACCTATCTATATGTTTATTATTATTTATAACATAATATAACGTGTGACATTACGAATATTATGTTATTATCATTGTTATTATGACGTACCTACCTATGTATACACACGACGACGTCCGCGAACTCAAAATCATCGTCCGCCTTTTTATCATTATCATCATCATCATCATCATCATTATCATTATTACTATTATTATTACTATTACTATCATGATATATTATACGCTATACGTCGGAGCGCGTACAATGTATAACGATAATACACACACACACACACACACACTAAAAGTTCGTTTCGGATGGCCGCGATAATACACATACACTCACACCGCACACGCATACACCCAGATAAGGATCCCGTAATTAATGTACGCATTAGCCTCGGTATATGTTGAATCATTATATATATATATACACATATGAGTGTGCCCGTGGTGTGTGTGTGTGGCTGTGGAGGCCCATTATTTCCGTGCAACCGGCCGTTGTGCAGGCGATGGGCTGCGCTGCTGTTGCGGCGAGAAATGCATTTCGAATTAGATACGCACACCGCGTCGCGTATACGTACATAATATATCATATTGTGTATATAAATCATGTATATACATTATATACATAAGTATATTATTACATACACAATATGTATATACTTAATGTTGTGGACGGTAGAGCTACGCGGCGACTGTGCATAATATACATGTACATATCATGGTATGTACCTATATATTATTAATATGCACGCATATACGTGCGTGTGTGTGGTGTAATATTGTATGGCTATCCCGCGAGTGTACGATAATATTATAGTATATATATATATGTATAATATCGGAAACACGAAACGGCGACTGTCGAAGGCGGGTGTGATGAGATCGCCGGGTAATGCGAAAAAAATTTAGATGGATTTTACCCTGTTTTCTGTCGTATATTATTAAACATGTATCAATATAATATATTAATCGCGCAAATACATCAGCACCGGCCGTGTAGGTATACCTATATATTTTAGGTATACATGAGCGTAT